GGAATCGATTTCTATGAAATGAAGCAAGGAGTCCTGCAGGTTTACCACCTCTTAAAAACAGTCCAGAATTAGTCAAATAGATTTTAAAGCTGCTATTAGAGTGATTAGATGATGAAATGCATTTGATCTGTTAAATGCATTTAATGTAATGGAGTGAACTGCATTAACCACACCCCTGATTGTCCAGTATAGCACTAATCAACCTTATCTTATTGACTCCAGTTTCCATTTCCACTTCATTCCTTTTAGCATATGTTGTTGTTTTTTGTTTATATGTGCAGTTCTTGGAATTGTGTAGCACTAATCTTATAAGTGGCGGTGCCGTGAAGTCCGTCTGTACCGGCCCACTTGCAGCCCTGGATTGGATCCTTTTTCTCCCTTTGCCAGCTCCTTCAGTTAATTAGTACCTGACCTCATTATCCGCCACTGTCTGCACCTGTTTTACTTCGATTTAACCGTCCACTCTGCCAGCATTTGTTGCTGCAAGAGTCAAAGATGACTTTGGAAACGTTTCTCTGAATTATTTTATGTGATCTTAAATTCAGTTTTTTTTTTTTTTAATTCAGTTTTAAGCTTGAAGACCGTGGTGGAAAAATGTATTCTCTTATGCATATAATGGGGCTGCACGGTGGGTAGCGCTGTTCCCTTGCAGCAGGAGGGTCCCGGGTTCAATTCCAATTGCATGTTCTCCCTGAGCATGCGTGGGTTCTCTCTGGGTACTCCGGCTTCCTCCCAGAGTCCAAAAACATGACTGTTAGGTTAATTGGCTTCTTAAAATTCTCCTTAGGTAAGGATAAGATAAGGACTAAGCTTTGACTTTACAGTCATGGCCAAAAGTATTGAGAATGACACAAATATTCTATTTTCCCCTGATCTGCTGCTCTCTGGTTTTCATGTCAGATGTTGTCATCACATACAGAAATAAAATTGTAATCATATTCTGAGTAACAAAAGCTTTTAATGACAGAATGAGTTAATGCAGCAAGACAATATTTGCAGTGTTGACCCCTCTTCTTCAGGACCTCTGCAATTCTCCCTGTCATGCTCTCAATCAACTTCTGGACCAAATCCTGACTGATAGCGTCCATTCAGGCACAATCAATGCTTGCATTTAGTCAGAAGGTTTGCGTTTGTCCACCCGTCTCTTCATGATTGACCACAAGTTTTCAATGGGATTAAGATCAGGGGAGTTTACAGGCCATGGACCCAACATCTCTCTGTTTTGTTCCCTGAGCCAGTTAGATATCACCCTTGCTTTATAGCAAGGTGCTCCATCATGCTGGAAAAGGCATTGTTCATCACCAAACTGCTCTTGGACGGTAGCCTGGGTGCCATTCCGAACTTAGTTCCGCCCACAACGTTTGAGGTGGGGAAGTTCGGTCTGGCATTGCTCAATAGTAGCGCGAGTATGCTCGCACAATATCTGGTCGGGCCAATCAAATTGTCCGGGCGGGCTTTATACGATGATGGACAGATGATCAACAGTAACGTAATCAACCACGTCACCAAAGCGCGCTTGGGTGACAACAACAATGGCTGCCGCCGGAGAGTTGAGGTGAGTAGATTCTGCTATTAGGTCTGTTCTAGATATAGATATCTAGATTCTAGATATCGACAGCAAATTAATTTTAAAAGAGGAACAGAGAAACGCGATCAAGGCATTTGTGGAAAAGAAAGATGTTCACCGGCAAAAATCGTTCACGCTCATCTTCTTATTCTAGGCGTGCAACTGCACGCTTTGATTTTTGTTGACAACAACTATGCGTCGCTTAACATACGTCACGCACTCCGTTGCTCTTATTGGTTGTAGGTCTATCCAATTGAGTGCAGTCATTTTTTTCCCCTGGTTCGTTCGAAACACGCCCCATAATCACAGCTCTATGGAGCAGCATCAGACTCATTCTGACTAGAATTGAGTAGGACTACGTCAGGCTACTTGGACGGTTGGGAGAAGTTGCTCTCGGAGGACCTTCTGGTACCATTCTTTATTCATGGCTGTGTTTTTAGGTCAGACTGTGAGAGAGCCGACTCCCTTGGCTGAGAAGCAACCCCACACATGAATGGTTCCAGGATGCTTTACAGTCGGCATGAGACCAGACTGGTGGTAGCGCTCACCTCTTCTTCTCCCAACAAGCTGTTTTCCAGATGTCCCAAACAATAGGAAAGGGGATTGATCAGAGAAAATGGCTTTCCCCCAGTCCTCAGCAGTCCACTCCCTGTACCTTTAGCAGAATATCAGTCTGTCCCTGATGGTTTTCCTGGAGAGAAGTGGCTTCTTTGCTGCCCTCCTTGAGACCAGGCCTTGCTCCAAGAGTCTCCGCCTCACAGTGCGTGCAGATGCACTCCCACCTGCCTGCTGCCATTCCTGAGCAAGCTCTGCACTGCTGGTAGGCCGATCCCGCAGCTGAAACACTTTTAAGAGACGGTCCTGGCGCTCGCTGGTCTTTCTTGGGCGCCCTGGAGCCTCTTGGCAACAATGGAACCTCTCTCCTTGAAGTTCCTGATGATGCCATAGATTGTTGACTGAGGTGCAATCTTTCTAGCTGCCATTCTCTTTCCTGTTAGGCCATTTCTATGCAGTGCAATGATGACTGCAGGTGTTTCTTTAGAGATAACCATGGTTCACAGAAGAGAAACAATGATGCCAAGCACCAGCCTCTTTTTAAAGTGTCCAGTGGTGTCATTCTGACTGAATCCTGACAGATTGATCTCCAGCCTTGTCCTCATCACCACCCACACCTGTGATAATGGAGCAATCACTGAAACCATGTTAGCTGCTCCTTTAAGGCAGGGCTGCAATGGTGTTGAAATGTGTTTTGGGGGATAAAGTTAATTTTCTAGGCAAATATTGACGTTGCAATAAATTGCTGTTACGCTGATCACCCTTTATAACATTCTGGAGTAAATGCAAATTGCCGTTATAAAAACTGAAGCAGTAGATTTTGTAAATATTAACATTTGAAAAAACTTTTGGCCATGACTGTAGAGCTGCAAGGCTAGAGTGTCTAATGCTACGTTCAGACGGCACGCAGCAGGAGCAGCAAAAACGTGCATGCTGCTTCATTTTGATATTGCTAGCTAGCACCAAGCTAGCTAAAAAATTATTTTGCAAACTAAATATTTAGGTCCAAATTGAATATTTATTTAACAAACTGAGGGCCGGATCTATCAAAGGTTTGCGTGTATAAAAACGTGAGCTATTTCACATGCTAAAAAATGTACAAACTGATCTATCAACAGCGTGCTAAAAGGATTTGGTCTTTAAAACGTGCTAAATAGCGCCTCTTATCCATTTAGTACTTTTTCTGCAATGAATATGCAATATGGGGCGTTTACACGCAAAAGTGCGTCTTGTGGGAGGAGAACATGTAAATATTTAGCACTCGCAAAGGGATTTATCAAACCTGAAAGCAATTTTGCTAACGGTATCTGACTCTATATTTAACACGTTTCAAAAGAAGGTGCAAATGGTCTGTATGCGTAATTGCGCACACATGGCAGCGGTTATTGTCGCAAGAAGGAGACATCGAAATGAAGCAAGGAGACGCAGAGAACGCATTTTTTCACTCCGTGTGAATATTTTTGGAATGAACGAGGAAACGATCATCAAAACATATCGTTTATCCAGCATTGCCATTTTGGAGCTGTTGGGGGAACTCCGAATGAGTTTGGAGCCAGCCACAAGGAGGACCCACGCAATACCAGATATCACAAAACTCCTTGCAACTTGCACTTTTTTGCATCTGGGATCTCCCAATCTCGTTTTTCCAATGCTGCGGGGATGCGTACGCGCAGTAATCTCATCCACAGTCACTTCTTGGGAGCCATTTGGTATGTGCATTTTTCTACAGGCCAATTCAAAACACCTGTTTATTTTTTTTTTACTGCAGTGAAGTAGAAATTCAGCCACATACCACCTTAGGGAATAAAGGTTGCCAAAGTTTATATATATATATATATATATATATATATATATATATATATATATATATATATATATAGCCTATATATTTTTTTTTATTTTTTTTTTGGGAGGGGTTGTCACTGTAAGATTTAAATTTCTTAAAGCACTAGTTTGTACAAACTACAAACTACTTTGCCGCAAACCACAAAAAGCGCAAAACCATCATTTAAATAGGGCGTCTCCAACAGTTTTGCACCTGCCACCAGTTACGCAATCACTCTCGTTGAATCACCCGCAAACCATGGTTCAGCCCCTCGCGCAAAATTCCAGTTTGCGAGCGCAAATTACTGCACGCAAAATTGGATCTTGATAAATCCGGCCCTAAGTATTTTGTTTGGAAAATACATATAGATAAAATCATATTTAGCTTGCCTAAATATGTTTCTTACTGACAATCTAAATATTAAGTTTGGAACTTTGATTTTTACGAATGAATGAATGAAAATATGACTGAAAAAAATAACTCCCAAATGTTTTTTACAGCATGCTTAAATAAGCATAAATATTGCACCTAATTTTTGACTGTTTAATGGCACCCCATAAAATCCCTGTCCCACCATCGCTGGCTCCCCGCATCCAAACAGTTTATCGTGCTGAAATAAAATCAGATTTCCCTAAAATGCCACCATAAGGAGTTTTACTCACCTTTTATGTATGCGTTTCACCCACAGGACCTGCTGACACAACAAAGGAGACATAACCCCAGTCGGCCTCAGCAGATGGCCGCTCACACTGAGCCTGGTTCTGCTGGAGGTTTCTTCCTGTTCAAAGGAAGTTTTTCCTCTCCACTGTCGCTACAAGCATGCTTAGTGTGAGGGATTGCTGAAGAGTCAATGAGTCGATGCAATCAGCTGGTTTTCCTTAGATAGAAAACTTTGAATCAATCTGACTGGATGATCTGGTGAACTGGAAAGTGAGCTGAGATGACATGATGTGAATTGGAGCTATAGAAATAAACTGAATAGAATTGAAAATGAATTTTAGTGAAAACCTCTGATTAACACTCAGATTCTTGATTCATAATTCTATTTTTGTAAAGTTAAAAACTTTTATTCTCACAGATAAAACTTTGTGTCTCACATATGAGCCAACAGGGAACAAATAAAAATCCTACATTTATTCAGCTTTTTTTATTTTATCGGCAGCTATCTTACTCCATACGTCCATGTGAAGCACTGAGAGCCTAAACGGGCTGAATGATGTAGCTACATTAGAAATAAAACAGAACCAGGATACAAAAATGTAGAAACAATATCTATTCACAAATCTGAGCAAAGAATAAAAAACCGCTATTTATAGTATATCACATTAGCAGGTCCTGCCCCGCTCTCACACCCGCTGCTTTCCAGTCAGATCTCAGTTATGACAATTCTCTGATGGCGCTTTAGATCTAAATTAGCACCAATTTAAAAGTTAAAGGCCAAATATTTAGAGTTTAGCGGTTTTGAGTCGCCGGCGTTCAGATGAACATCAGACAGTTCTGTTGCGTCGTAAACTGATGCATCTTCATGTTGAGGCACCTGCTGTGTGTTGCTGACGAGTTTCTCCATCACCTTCATCCACAGGTGCTTCAGCATCAATGTCTCTGATTGGCTGGAGCGCCTGCAGATCTTTCCTGGAGGCGGGTGTTCGGGATGCTGTGTTCAAACCGCCCCCTCAGGAATCGGTGAGATCAGTGGGTGGGGGTGCGACCATGACGGCACAGATGTTTGTGTTCTGGGCTCCAACCTCCCACTACTGACCATCTACCAGCAGCTTCCTGCTGACTTCAGCCCCTCGGGGCCCTTCAAGTCCTTCCGGTCCACCTCCACATCCATCACAGCACCTGAGAGTCACTTCTTCTGCTCCCGTTCCCCGAGTGGCCGGCAGCATCTCCTACAACGAAGCTGCGTGTGCGTCGCTGTGCTCCAGGTGGTGATGGTGGTGCAGCTGAGCTTTGCTGGCGGCGCTGCAATGAAGCGACACCACCGTCGGCAGCTCTTCGTCACCTTTAACAGAGACGACACCTTAGCGTTAACAGAGACAGAAAATATTCACATCTAAAACTAAAGGAAGACAAACGCTTTGATAAAGTTATAGAAATCTGAAAGAAGTTTCATAGATCTGTAATCAGTACCCACTGATCAGATAAACGTTAATCAAATTCAGAGCAAACATGGAAGCTCAGAGGACAGCCAACTAGCGTGATGTGGTCGTAAACGGACATCCTCAAAGGCTGGTGTCCTGTAACCTAGAGACGGGTCCAAAAAACGTCACCCACATGGCTAAAGCCAGGCGTACACTGTACGACTAATTGCGGGGTTTAGTCGTACAGTGTGAGTTCACAGCTCAAGATCTATGTTCGATCCGACGCTCTGATGCGATCTACCTGCTCACACTCTAGGTCTAAAAACCAGGTGGGACTCAGCTCCGCAGTGAGATGGCGCTACTTGGACTCGTCTATCTGGAAGCCAAACCAGTAGCAGAGGAACATGAAGCTCACTAGAGTGAAATACGCTGCCTTGGATATTTGGGCAATTTAGTGCTAAAAGCCCTAAAAACAAAAAGGAGACGACGTATTTGGACAAAAACATGGCTGAGCAAACGTGGCTACTACGGTCTGTCAGTCTGACAGAAAGAACTCCATTTCACTCATTGCCCCCCCGCCATGATGCTGGGTTTACATCTGAGAGGAAGAAGAAGAAGAATCCTTGTTTGCGCACTGAGAGATTTTCCCACGACGGCCGGGAAAAAATCAAACATGTTTGATTTTCTCCCGACCTTACGAATCCGTGTATCATTCGTTCTTTCTATTTTCAATTGTCAATCAAAAAACAAAAAATAAAAAATTGACTGGTTATTTTGTTTTTTGTTTTTTATGGTTAAACCAAAAACGAAAAAATTATTGGTTTTTCATATATCAATTTTAAGCTCAGATCAAGAATACGAAATGGAAAAACGGACAGCAACGCAGAATTTGATTTTAATATTTAGTCGGTACAGTTTACGTGACCCGGAAGTTTGGTGGAGCGTTAGCTAAAAAACAATTGGCTTACCCCCACCACGTTGGATCAAGCTGCACCAGATAAGGCAGTCGGACCTATCAGCCATGGACAGTTACGTGTTATTTCCCTTTTCTCCTCAGACCATGGAGAGCACAGAATCTTCTGACGCTCATCTTAGAGCATTACTTGATACCCATCTGCTGCAATGAGCTGGAAATTTCGGCGTGTGTCAAACCACTGGCAAACAGCTTCTTGATCAACATAGTGTGTGGTTCTAGCGTCGCCATGGTAGCCACTTCATTACCCCAACTGCTGCGCAAAGAGCTATTTCCGGGTCACGTAAACTGTACCGATTAAATATTAAAATCAAATTCTGCGTTGTTGTCCGTTTTTCCATTTCGTATTCTTGATCTGAGCTTAGAATTGATATATGAAAAACAAATCCTTTTTTCGTTTTTGGTTTAACCATAAAAAACAAAAAACAAAATAACCAGTCAATTTTTTATTTTTTGATTGACAATTGAAAATAGAAAGAACGAATGATACACGGATTCTTACGGTTCCTGATCAGGAGGTGATCATGAGAGGCTGATCGCCCCTCGTTACCCGCTGTTCACTACACGACTCATGACACACGATCAGGCTGAAAGTCGGCCCGATCGAAAGATTCTCGCACCGTAAACTGCAGTGTACGCTGGGCTTTACCTGCCTCACTAGCATTCTAATACATCAAAACGTAGCTCAGAGCTACTCTACCCACATCCTACCTCCTACCTGCTAAATCCTACCTCCTACCTGCTAAATCCTACCTCCTACCTGCTAAATCCTACATCCTACCCTCTAAATCCTACCTCCTAAATCCTACCTCCTACCTGCTAAATCCTAAATCCTACCTGCTAAATCCTAAATCCTACCTGCTAAATCCTACCTCCTACCTGCTAAATCCTACCTCCTACCTGCTAAATCCTAAATCCTACCTGCTAAATCCTAAATCCTACCTGCTAAATCCTACCTCCTACCTGCTAAATCCTACCTCCTACCCGCTAAATCCGAAATCCTACCTGCTAAATCCTACCTCCTACCCGCTAAATCCTACCTCCTACCTGCTAAATCCCACCTCCTACCCGCTAAATCCTATCTCCTACCCGCTAAATCCTACCTCCTACCCGCTAAATCCTACCTCCTACCCACTAAATCCTAAATCCTACCATCTAAATCCTAAATCCTACCTGCTAAATCCTACCTCCTACCCTCTAAATCCTACCTCCTACCTACTAAATCATAAATCCTACCTGCTAAATCCTACCTCCTACCTGCTAAATCCTACCTCCTACCTGCTAAATCCTAAATCCTACCCGCTAAATCCTACCTCCTACCTGCTAAATCCTACCTCCTACCTGCTAAATCCCACCTCCTACCTGCTAAATCCTACCTCCTACCCGCTAAATCCTACCTCCTACCCGCTAAATCCTACCTCCTACCCACTAAATCCTAAATCCTACCATCTAAATCCTAAATCCTACCTGCTAAATCCTACCTCCTACCCTCTAAATCCTACCTCCTACCCGCTAAATCCTACCTCCTACCTGCTAAATCCTACCTCCTACCTACTAAATCCTACCTCCTACCCTCTAAATCCTACCTCCTACCCGCTAAATCTTACCTCCTACCTGCTAAATCCTACCTCCTACTTGCTAAATCCTACCTGCTAAATCCTACCTCCTACTTGCTAAATCCTACCTGCTAAATCCTACATCCTACCCTCTAAATCCTACCTCCTACCTGCTAAATCCTACCTCCTACCCACTAAATCCTAAATCCTACCATCTAAATCCTAAATCCTACCTGCTAAATCCTACCTCCTACCCTCTAAATCCTACCTCCTACCTACTAAATCCTAAATCCTACCTGCTAAATCCTACCTCCTACCTGCTAAATCCTACCTCCTACCTGCTAAATCCTAAATCCTACCCGCTAAATCCTAAATCCTACCCGCTAAATCCTACCTCCTACCCGCTAAATCCTACCTCCTACCTGCTAAATCCCACCTCCTACCTGCTAAATCCTACCTCCTACCCGCTAAATCCTACCTCCTACCCGCTAAATCCTACCTCCTACCCACTAAATCCTAAATCCTACCATCTAAATCCTAAATCCTACCTGCTAAATCCTACCTCCTACCCTCTAAATCCTACCTCCTACCCGCTAAATCTTACCTCCTACCTGCTAAATCCTACCTCCTACCCTCTAAATCCTACCTCCTACCCGCTAAATCTTACCTCCTACCTGCTAAATCCTACCTCCTACTTGCTAAATCCTACCTGCTAAATCCTACATCCTACCCTCTAAATCCTACCTCCTACCTGCTAAATCCTACCTCCTACCTGCTAAATCCTATCTCCTACCTGCTAAATCCTACCTCCTACCCTCTAAATCCTACCTCCTACCCTCTAAATCCTACCTCCTACCTGCTAAATCCTACCTCCTACCTGCTAAATCCTACCTCCTACCCTCTAAATCCTACCTCCTACCCGCTAAATCCTACCTCCTACCTGCTAAATCCTATCTCCTACTTGCTAAATCCTACCTGCTAAATCCTACATCCTACCCTCTAAATCCTACCTCCTACCTGCTAAATCCTACATCCTAGAGCGGGGATCCAGGTGGAAAAAGGGTCCCAGCGTTCTCGCGCACCTCGCTCTGCTAGCTGCTCCATCGTTTTCCACAACGGCGGTCAGACAAACAGAACAAGCCGGTAAGGAACCAAACAGGAAATACTCATAGAGTAGAGCGGACATAGAACTAACCAATCAGAGGCCTCCTGTCTGCGGTCACCTACAATTTTGGAGAGGAGCAGCAGAGGGTCTTCAGAAGGGGCGGGGCATATCTGCATTAACTGTGACACTCATGCAGACCAACTGGTTTCTGCGTATAAACCCGCCTTAAGTCCTACCTCCTAAATCCTATCCCTATTTACGAACTCCTGCCCCCTAGCTCCAGATGGAGGGATATTACTGATGCTACTGCTGGTCTTCCATTTTCTTCCAATAAATCCTACAGTTGATCTGTTGTAGGTTTACTCTGGTTCCGGTCCAGCAGTCTTTGCCGTGGTTGAGTTTGGAGTACGGCAGTTTGAGGCTGAGGAGCCCCTGATGGAGAAAACAAGTGGAGGACAGAGGAGCTCGTTGAAGGAGAAGCTACTGAGGGGCAGACATCTTGCTTTTTTCTAGATCAGCAAATTCTTATTTTCCACAATTTGCTAATAAGTTATTTCAAAATCCTACAATGTAATTTCCTGTATTTATATTTTATTTTTGAACCTATGATGAAAACTACAAACTTCTCTCAATTTTCTAAGTGGGAGAGTTTCCACATTCAGCGGCTGACTGAATACTTTTTTGATTGGCCGACCTGTGCTGGGTGGCTTCTCAAACGGTGGGACGGGACAGATCCTGCTGCGTTTGTGAGCAGATAAATACTGCGAGGATTCAGCCTGCAGCGCCAGAAGAACGGAGGTAAATCCAGGAGGACGTTCGAAGCTGCAGAGGGACCTGAGACTTGCAGCTGGACAACGACGCACAAACAGCCGGAGCGTCAAAGGAGGCGCTGACGTTCAGTTTATTCAAAGTATAAACCTAAAAATCTTAGAAACCGACGTTTAAAGGCATTTTCCAGGTGATCTGACTGTGAACCTAAACCTGCAGCCACAGCCTCAGGCTTCTGGACCCACCGACTCTGGGCTTAAGCCGCAAACACACACCACACTTTTCAGATTTCTCAGTGTGAGAAATGTTTATAGACTGTGTGTTTGTCTTATTTTCTTGTTTTTCCACTTATTCGATAACATTTCTGTGGTTATAATGCTGTAAAGACGTAGAGTGCGGCGGCGTTACCGAGTCCAGATGAAGACGATTCGCTGTCTGCCAAGGAGGCGGAGTCCATCTGGTCTTGCGACAGCCCCTCCATCAGAGGTATGGACAGCTCCGACGACGGGACGGATGAATCGTATATCCCAGAATCGCGAGGAGGAGGGACCTCCGGAACGGTGCAGCCGTCGTCCTCGGTGTGGCCGGACGCAGGACACGCCTCCTCCTGAAGGACACAGGGAGCCGAGGAAGACTCTCCGGATGCTCCGATGGACAATCTGCCGAGAAGAAGAAAAGGAGCTGAACTGATGAAGGTCTGAACTGAACGGCGGGAAAATGTCAAACCGGACGCTCGTCTCCACCTTGGCGTGGATCCTGGGATGGATGCAGAGCAGTGTGGGAGTTCTGGACTGGGACTACGACCCGGACCGGAACCAGGGGCCAGCAGGAGCACGTTCCTCCTCGCCACTGCATCCACTTCCTCCAGCGACGGCGTGCTGATCAGCACCTCGTTCAGCACCAAGCCCGAGTCGAAGCGCCGCTCCGGCTGAAGCCCCGCGGAGCAGGTGGGTTCTGGAGGAGAACTCGGACCCGGGATGGCAGGAGGCGGAGCCTCTTTGGAGGAGGAGTCTGAGGGAGGCGGGGCTGCAGGAGACAGCTGCTTTTCAAACCAGTCCTTGTTCTGGCTGATGTGCTGGTGCATGTTGCAGATGGACACGTAGAGCGAGCGTCCAGATTTGCTCCTGAAGTAGTTCCCCCTGGAGATGTTGAGCGGCGGTTGCTCAGGATCGGCCACGGCGGCCTGACTGGAACGGAGGCGAATGTAGAGCTGCGGCAGCTGATCCATGAGCTTCAGCCTAAACCACAGGAAACCAAACAGCCTGTTAGGAGCGCTCCCGTCCACCGGGCCAACCCGCCGCCGCCATCAGCTGCGTTTCTACCTGGGAGCCACACTCAGCGCTGTGGGGACGTCGCTTTCGGTGGAGTAGTCGAAGTACACGGCCAAGAAGCGGCTCAGCTCCTGACCGCCGCCGTCCTGGCTTTGCTTCGCCATCCGCAGCTTCTCCGCTATCATGGCCACGGCCACCACGAACAGATCACGGTGAGAACCGCCAGCGGGGGAGCTGCTGTTACCACGGCGACCAGCCGGCGTCTTCCCTCTGCGACTCTTCTTTTCAACGTGATGTCTGGGATGATGCGGTTCAAAGAGCAGAAGTTAGCGGGATGTGAGAAATATGACATCATTATGGTTTTTATAGCTTAAAACCTCAAAAACTGATCTTTAAATTACAATTTTTTGAAAAATATGTGTCTTCATCTTTAATTTCAAGAATTTAATGAGGTGATTTGCTAATAAAATTAGTACTCTTGCCCTTAAAATATGATACTTGGATATTATACACATTAAATGTAAATAATTTAATTCCTTTTGGCAAATTGTCTCACTTTTCTTCTAACAACAAACACTAAAATAAACAAGTTGGCCAACTTGTTTATTTTAGAGTTCATTTTGCTGAATATCCAAAAATGAGATTGATTAAAGATTCTATTAGAAACCACGTCATTAACTTAAATCCAACAGTGTTTTAGCAGCATCTGGTGGCCAGAAGTGAAACTGCAGGGGAAAACGCCTGAGATTTATGGAGGGAATTTTGTTCCATAATTGTTAAAAGCAATTTTTTCGAAATGCAAACAATAGAAAAAGAAAATGTAATTCAGAAATGGAATTTTGAAAAACTCTTTCTCAGATTTAGCTTTATGAATTAGATTAAAAATGCCTCATTGCTTCACTCTGAAAAGAGGCTTCGCAGCATCAGCTGCATGTCCAGCATTTTCTGCAAGAGCTTTTTCCGCGCTGACATCAGACTGTTGAATTCTAAACTGAACTCTGCATCACACATGCATCATTATTTTGCACCACCAACATTGCCGAATTTTATAATCCTTTTAAATAAGACACAACTAAATGTTGTCTTATTTAGCACCCTATTATTTTGCACTGTACTGAATATTTTCAGATGAATGCCTTTTTGCACCATTATTTCAATTGTTTTCTTTTTTTTTCCTATAATGTTACATTCTGATCACTGCTGCATGTTAGATTGTAATCTTATCTCAGTCCAACAGCAATATCATTACACTGTTGTAAGCTGTATGCAACAACATTTCATTTTATGTACACTGTGCATACAAAATGACTATAACTTTTATCTAAGTCTCCTCACTACAGATATATATATATAAAAAAACTTTTTTTAATAATATATAAAGCACATAAAAAAAGAAAATATAAAAAGAATAATATCTTACTAAGTGGTAAAATAAATTTCATTAAGAATTTAGTTTCTGGGTCACAGCAAAATATGTTCTGTGCTGCAACATTAATGGAACAAAATTCAATCCCTTTAAATTCGGCCAGTTTTCTCCCAAATACATTTCAGACACAGAGAGCCATAAAGGGGGCGGTACCGGAGGCCTTTAGAACAGACGGTGATGATGAGGTTTGCTTCATCCAGCTGTCGGCTCAGCCACGACATCTGACCCTCCTTGCACATCTCCAGATGTTCCCACAGGTCCAGCACCACCTGCATCCAGCAGAGCAGAGCTCAGTAAACAGCATCTCCACCTCTCTGGGTCATTTCACACGTTTCCAGGGCCTCACCTCGCAGCCACAGAAGTCCTGCAGGAAGTAGGCAAAGCTCTGGATGACGCTGGTGTGTTTGGAGCCGTCTCTGTTGGAGTAGCAGATGAAGACCTTGGGGCGTGGCCACGGCCGCTCGCTGTTCAGTGCCGCGCTCTGATTGGACGACTCGCTGCTCTCCTCGTCCAGCTGACTGTAGATGTTTTCTAAAATCAACACATCACGTATTGAGTTTTTCTTATTGACCAAATACTTATTTACCACCATATTTTACTGACCAACTCTTGAAAATCCTACAATGTGATTTCCTGTATTTATTTTCCAATACTGCCTTTCTCTCATCAAGCAGGACAATTATAAGTTTCCGCTACAAGCTGGATCGTCGCGAGATCTGAGTTTTCAGTCTCAAAACAATGTCTGTATTTCTGCGTCTTGAACCGGAAATACTGCAGACATAAGTGTCTCTGTGTGCTTACAGATTGATCTACACATTTGCAAATCTTACTACAGATCTGTAAATCTCAGTACACATTTGTAGATTTGAATACAGATTTGTAGATTTTTTACACATTTGCAAACCGGATGACACACACAGTAGTTTTACACATTTGCAGATTGTTTTACAGACACACAATTCTCCTCACACATTTACAGTCTCATTTACACATTCTCAAATCCCACTGCACACGCACAAATCGAGATACAGATATACAACTCTCCACACACATTTGTAAATAATAAAGCAACAATTTTGACCCCATAACAGAGAAGCAGATCATGGCTTGTCTACAGTGAAAAGAAGGACTGGGTTATTTACTTTGGCCTTTTTGGAAACACAGGAAGGAGCAATCAGCTAAGTGAGCTTAGTGCTTGGAAAAAATCTTTCATTCCTTTAGAGACAGCATGAAAAGTCAGCTGAGTACAAAACATAGAGAGGAAAACAAGAAGAAAAGGGACAAGAAGAGAGGGACACAACCTAGAACAGATAATGGATGTCTATTCTATTAACATTTCTCTATCGGTAGAATGGGGCTGTTTGATGTGTTGACTTCTCAATTCAGAGGGGCCCCTGCCTGTCTTTGCCTAGGGCCCCAAATTTCCTAAATCCACCCCTGGTTCTGCAGTCATCATTAACAGTCCATGAAAGCAAAGGCAGCCTGGATGCAGGACTGGAAGGAACATAGCTTCTCTGATTATTTAGCTGGGGTTCTGCAGCATGCCGTCACCTCCACCCAAAGGGTTAACGAACACAGAGACATCCAAAGAAAAGATGGCAGCTCTGAGTTTCACAGGCTGGCCTCACCTTGCTGCTTCTTACGACACACGACAGTGAAGAGGGTGGCAAAGGCAGACATGATGACCAGAGGCACGGTGATGGCCATGGCACGGATCGGCCCCGCCCAGGGGGAGTGGACTGGTGGATAAAACAAACGCATTCAGTGAGAAACGGCGTAATTCTGAATGTTTGGAAGGAAAGACGAATCTATCTGGGTTATCCAAGAAGCCGAGTATGTTCCTGCACACACCCTCTGGATTAAAAAACAGTTCAACACAAAAAGACGGAAACTTTAAAGATACATTCCAGCATAAATGTTGAAAAAATGTATTTAGATTAAAACAGCAAATATCTGCAGCCTAAATAAACTACCATCTCACCCTGGCTGACGTGGTACTGAATTTGCCTCCTGCTTGTGTTGCTGTTGTCTTTTAGCTAAAAGAAAAGAACATATGCATAGTCAGAGATTTATAGCTCTTTAAATCATCATCACTTAACTTTAAAAAATAAAGCAGTTCAAACAGCACAGAGCTGCAGCGTGTACCTCGATGACGTAAGTTCCTGGAGTGACATCCTCCAGGATGCATGTGGTCCTGGCCTGGTTTAGCTC